TCTGGACCAACAGAGGTATTTGAGTAGAGGAAAGAGAGAGGAGAACATTTATTTAATGTAATGAAGTATGAAGAGATCAGGCCTGCACTGGAGAAGTCAGTGGGAATAAAAATTAAGAGGAAATAAATTTTAAAACTATCAATTAGGAAGTGCTAACTACCTGGATGAGAGGACCAGGGGCAGTGACTTTGTTTAATGGAAGCAAACAGTGTTTTAGGCATAAAGCACCCAAATGTCACAAAACTGTTAAGCCAGACATCCCTAGGGCAATGCTGGTTCCAAGGCATGTTATATGAGCTCTTCCCCTCTTCACTTGAAATATATTTAGGATGAAATCTACTTTCAATCAACACTTTTCTTGCAGCGTTTAAGGGCCAGGTTCCCTTCTCCCCATTCCAGGCAGTTCTGTTTTGACCTGCCATACTCAATGGACTCCTGGGTAAGCTTTTGTTTCACTTGAGAATTCTGCAGCTGAAAAGTTTGAAAACCACTGAACTAAGATACATATGTAGTTTCAGTGGCTTGACCCTGTGAGTATCCATCAGTTTTGCACACAGCAGGGTTTCTCAACCAAGACATTATTGACATGTGGAGCTGGATATGTCTTTGTTGTGGGGGTTGTCCTGGCATTGTAGCAGCATCGCTGGCCTCGACCCACTATACGCCAGTAGCATCCCTCCCGGATCCTCTAGTTATCACAATCAAATGTCTCCAAACATTGTCAAGTGTTCCCTGGCGGCAGCAGTGGGGGGGGGGGGGGGGGGGGGGGTTGGGGTGGGCGGGTGCTAAAATCCTCCCCTCCCAGTGAAGAAGTGCTCATACAGAGGACTTACAGGTCCAGTTCTAAGCTAAGACCCCAATCTGTGTTCTGTTGCTGTTTCATAACAGGTTCTCCTTTCTCTTCTACTACTATGGCAATATTAAACATGAGCTAACACTGTATTATTGCTGATTTTTTTTTTATGGGTAGGAAGAGAAGAGAAGCAGGCTAGAGATTCTAACACAAACATGGGTATTTGCTTACCACACTTCTAAATTAATGGGAGAAAAAGTTTGCTTTGTTACTTGAAACACACAGCATAAGAAGTTTCTAGGTACCAGCTTAGGCTTCAGACCTGAACACAAAATTTATTTGTCCAAATACACGTATTTTAAAAAAAAAAAATAAGCAGGTGACATGTGTCTTATCCCCTTCCCTCTCATAGCCATCATCCCAGCGCCTTCTAGCAAATCAACAGTTTTTCAACTCTTCTGTTTTCCAACTCAAGTTAGGACATCTATTCTTTTCTAAAAAGTCTCTGGGGATGGTCTGGGTTGTTTTCAGTATCTGGGAGAAACTGTCATAAAGAACATGCTTATAAAAATCCTGCAGCATGTCATCTCACTGAAAAAAGAAAAAGAAACTGAAATATTTTCTGCCAAGTATAAACAGTACGATTTTGGCTCCCCATGGTAAAATGGATAAGTTTGAAGAGTTTAGATGTCAAACTCTTTTTCTTGTACCTAATGTTTGGTATCACATCCCATGGACAATGGAAATTTGCTAATTGCGTGTGGGTTTTGGTGATTTACAAGCAAAACAAATGGGAGAAAAGGCTTTAATTTTCCCAATATTCAGAATATTACTTCATTCCAAAAGAAATGCCACCTATAAGCAGCCTCCTTCTCCTCCTATATTTGATGTTCTGTTGAACTTTTCCTTATGTACATCATTTGGTTATGTTGGGGATCAGAACTGGCCACCCCAACATCTGTCTCTTTGGCTTGATTATTTTTAAGGACAAAAAACTCTGAGAGAAACTTTGACCTTCCCCCACCTGCCTAAAAGAAATTTAAGATAAAAGCTCTGTCCCCAAGACAGGCCATCACCATAGAGAACTCTGGGTATCTGTAGACTGGGAGCATCTTTGCTAAGCCCTTCTTACCAAGGTTCTATCTACCAAACATTTGCTTTTCCATTTCCATGTGAATTGCCTCCCTCCCCTTTGACACCCCAAACCACTACCCGCAACATCCTCCTTTGCTTTTAGCTGAAGACGATATTTAAGGTGGCAGCTTGGGCCGTCCTGAGTCACCCAGTTTTCCTGGTTTTCTCCCATGTATACATGTTATAAAGTTTTGTTTGATTTTCTCCTGTTATTCTGTTCTCATGTCAATTTAATTCATAGACCAGCCAGAAGGACCTAGAGGGTAGAGGATTTGTCTTCCTCCCCTACAGTTACATAATTTGTGGCAAGAGATAGCTAGAGAAGTGAAACAATATTCAACGTTTTAGCCAATGGCAATATTCAGGGTGTCAAAAAATGAATCTTTACACAAAAAACACATCTAGTGTCAAAGTCAACTTCTTATACAAATCCTAACAAGGACAAATTTAATTTATAAACAATTAGCTTGAACAAAACATTTAAAATTTCAAAGCAAATTATGCTACCATGAGCATCTTTCATCACTGAATTTATATCCCTTACAATGTTAGTCAAGTCTTAATATGCAGAGAAACCAAGGTGGATATAGGTGAGTTATACTTTCTACAACATTCTCAATCCTGGATTGGAGTTTGAAAGCTAGGCTTTCCAAAATGCCGTGTGTGCCATGTGTTCAGGGTAATCTGAAGTTCATGATGTTCTATGCTAGGCAGGTGACCTCCTAAATAACATGTTCAGACCTTGTTTTGACTAGTGTTTCTTCGTCTCTCATGAGCTATCCATTAGTTTTGCATTACTTTAGGCTTTAATGTCTTATTTGTATTTTGGTGTTTGTACAATATTAAACTTCCTTTATTTTGCATTCTTCATGAGCTATTCTGAGGCTAACCTCATCTGCCTCAGGGTAATGTGGAACAGCAGCTCTTGAGGTCACTTTAGCCCTCATCTCCTTGACCCAACTGAGGTCTCTTGAAGGATTCTGGGTCATTGTACTGCCTGGGTAGTGTCAAGATCACCATGAGCTTCCCTGACTCCGAGGACTTCAATGACTCCAAGACAGGATAGATTTGCTGACCTTTAGGTCCATGTGTCCACATCCAACCATTGTTAAAGGTCGTTGTGTTATAAGTTTTCCAGAAGTAAATATAAGATTTGCTACTAATACTGTTTCCTTTTTCTTTTATTTTTAAAGGAGTCTTTGTTTCCTTCTGAAGAAAATATTTGTTCTTCTAGGATTTAAAGTACGCAGATTCTTCTGGAGCCACACAAATATTAAGACCGTAAGTAATATGCAAAAAGAGGGAAAATCCAAGAGCTGTTTAAAATAAACAATTTCAGAAATTCTACAGCAAATCCTAGCATCTAGAAAATTTATAATAATTGGTATGATCTCTTACACAGTGGCACATTCATAATGAAGTTAAACATACAGGAGGCAGAACATATTAAAGACAGATTAAAATGCAAATAATGGATTAAGGCAGGAATGTTTTTAAATGATTTTCTTTGTTATAACACTATCTATTAAAACTCTATGGCTAAATAATAAATATTTATTCCCTATACTTCAAATTCTTTTAGGAAATAATGCTACCAAGAGAAAAATGGAGATTGGTGATAAAATCTCAAAATACCTTTATAGAAAGACTTTTCGAAAATTTTCAGAAAGCTATAAATCTTATATTAAGCCTACTAAATAAAACTGCATGACTTATAACACAACCAGCATCTAATTTCTCTGGCAGACAACACAGCTAATTCATTCGTGGAAATCTAGCATTGGATAGTACAAATAGTTGCTAAATTTCCCTTCCGGTAATTTAGGCCAGTGAGCATAAAACTCATCAGATTTGTTTAAAAGTGTTTTCTTTTGGGAGGAAATGCTAGAGAACATGAAGAAAAGACTGAAAAATAGGAGAGAAAAACAAGTTTATTTAAAAAGACTAACTATACGTATAATAAATACTAAGAATTCTGCTCTGAAAGAGTTATACAGGAAAACAATCTAAACAGCTGAAGTTAGTCTATCCTTCCTTGAGGCTTTTACCTTTCAGTATTAGAAAGAAAGATCCTAAGCAAAATAAGTCACCCAAACTAAAACATTCAAAATTGTTAAATATTCTCAAGAAGATAAATTATCCTACAGCTTGAGCTATAGATTCACAAAAAGGCTGACATAACTTTTGAATAAAAATAAACAGCAAAGGTTATATCATATTTATTATTTAGACTGACCTTCCAAACTTTAAGTAAAATTTGCTTCCATAAAGGAAGAGGGAATCTATTTAAGGAAGCTGCCTCTACTGAATAAAAGGGAAATAAAGTAACAATGAACAAATCCATTCTAAATAGCTACTCTATAGACTACCAAATTAAAACTCGTAAGGTAAAAATACTATTGCATATATTAATGCTAATATTTATATTTAAAATTATCACCCTTCTCTTTGAGGCAGCAATTACCCTCCAATATGGTCCTTACTTAGCTAAGCCAAAGGATGCAAGAGAGCAACATCAGGATGTACATAAGGCTAATAAAACAGAATCCCAGAATCACAGAAGAAGGGTGAGGACAGACGGATGAGAAACAACGTCCAGTATCTTTTCATGTAGACCCAAATCTTCGAAGCAGTAAAATTATAAGTTATCCATCTAGTAATTTATTTATGATCCTCAATCTAAGCCATTTCAGTAATCTTCATGGGTTGATTTAAAAGGTCTGATCCTCTTATGATCTCTTTGGTAACGATGATCCATAGTAAACATAATCTCATCTGAATTTTGCAAAACAAACTTTCTCCTCTCTGCCCTAACCTACTTTTTAAGATTCTATAAAAATGGTCTATTATTTATTTATGGAAAAATGGGGCAGAGAATGATGAGTCTACTTTTTCCATAGATTTGCCTTCACAAGCAAGGATTCAGCATGTAAGATGAAATTCTACATAGAAAAATGGAATTTTTTCTCTATTTACTTTAATATTTATTCAGATACAATTTTGAAAATCAAGAATGAAATAATAAACTATGATACAGATATTACTGGTAAGATAATTAAGAAACTTAACTCACCATTTTTTAGGCTTTGACAATGGTTTGTATTTGCTGTATTTCACACGCCATTCTAGAACTTCTTTGCACCGTTGACATACTCCATCATGAAGTTTTGCATTAATTTTCTTAAAGACAAACAGAAAAACAAATTGAGAATTTCACCTGTGAGCCAGCACTGCAAACCCCATGAAAAAGGTACATGAGAAATGTGTTTTAAAAAGAGTAACCTAACTTTAACCTGTGTAACATTTTATGATATACTATGTATTTTTATGTATATCACTCAATTTGGTTCTTTACAAAGGCAAAGATTCTTTACTGGGTGTAGTTCAGAATTATTTAGGAAACTGTTTAACCTCCTGGCAGTATTTTGAGAAAGCCCTTCTCATTGACGCTGACATGTATGTACCTAGGTTAAAACTCACACTGTACAGTTAAGATATGAGCATTTTACTGTATGTAAGCTATATATCAATAAAAACTAAATTCATTTACAAAACCAAATCCACATTTTAAGACTACTGTTTCAACATTCAAATCTTACCACTGAGAAATGAGAAATTAGATCGTCCTGAACTGCCATTCTGTAGGGGAGAGCAGAGACTATGAAATTTGAGAAAGGAGTGCCAGGGAAAAGCAGGTGGAAGCAAGAAGGCATTTAATTACTCAGTTTAATCCTTTGTATTCTTATGTAAAAACAAAACAATGTTTTAGAAAAGTTACCCTACTAATCTGGTTTCTTCAAAATAGAAAATAAATATGTGCATGTGAATATCTGTGGTGGAAAGGCCTTATAAAAGAAAAAAACCCCACATTTTTATTATAATTTTCTTCTCAAAATGTATTGGAGAATAAGGAGGATGGGAAATTGTTAAACATGTCATGTGTTCTCCACAATAGTTTTCTATTTTATAACATATTCATTTGATTCAGAACCTCGATGATATGTTTCCACTGGGTACTCTGGGAACTCTCTAACTCTGGCTGTGGAAGCCTGGTCTTTGCCTACTGTTGGAACAAAGGGTAGAGGACATTTTGAACTTTCTTTGCTTTCTTTGTTTCCTTTTTTAATTTCTCAAGAGGCAAAAGAAAAGCATCACGAAAGATGCAGATTCTTTGAAGGTTATTTGATATTGAGTTAAAAGCTCAATATTTAGAGATCATCTGAAAGAAAACAAAACTTTTGAAGAGTGCTTGACATTCTTTAAAGTTCTAAACAAGAAGGTAAAATAATTTGACAAAACATTTATTTAGAGAGAAAATATTTCAAGGGTATTTTCAAAAAGCATAAATTAAGCTGTGAATACATTACGTTTGAATTTAACTCTGTGGTGGAAAACATATTCTGTTACTTATGAATTGTGTGTGGGTATTCCTTTCTTCCTGATCTAGATGGAGAGTCCCTGGGAAAATAAATCCTGTGTGCCACTACATTCCCGCCTTCCTGTGGCCTGCTAACTGTTGCCAGAAAAAAGGAAATCTGTGCCTGATACTCTGTGCCAAATTCCTCTTCTTATCAACCTTGGTACTTAGTTATCGCGTATAGGGCTTGTAAGAAATACCCAGAACTAAAGCTCACATTTCATCAATTGTTCTCACTGCTCTCTGTTACCTAGCATATCTTAGTAAAAGCATTACTTATATTTTCCTAACTCTAACAACGAGAACAAGCAAATGACTTTAACTATGATTATAATATGAATGTGATATAAACTTTCTAATTAGAATATTCTTAGAATGCAGAACATTTCATTATCTGCAATTTTATTATATATAACACGCTCTGCTTGTTAACGAGGAAGCATTATTTGGTTTCTTGTTTGCTTCTGTATCTAATTTCTGACCAGTTCATCTTGATTAACAAAGCTGCACATAGTTTGGAAACTGGTTTCTTTAGGGTGGATCGACAGTAGAACAAAACAGGTCTTTGTGGGAACTTGTCCTGTGAGTGATGTGTGAAGCAGTATAAATGGAGATGTTGTACAGAATTCACATGACTAACAGGCACTACTGCAAAATTCAACTTGATTTTCATGTGTTAGGAAATGAATGAGAGTAAGAAGGAGAATGAATAGTACTTTCACTTAAAAATAGTTGCAGAAAGAAAGAAAATTGTGTATCTTGTTTTACTGTATTTTGACAAACTAGCAAAGTGAATTCCAGAGATGTGAGCAATGAAAGCTAAACCCTAGTCCTAGGACGACTCATTCCACCTGGCGCTAAGGAGATGGCAATCTTGCCTTATTCACACCTATGTTACAACTAATTAATTAATGTTAATTAATGTTAATTAATTTTAGCATGTCCCTCATGGTAGAAGATCGTAGGTTATTAAGGTTAAGATTTAAGCACGTCCAAATATAAGATCAAAACAATTTCATAAGTACAAAAGTCTTTAAAGATCATTTAGTTTAACAAGCTACTTTCCAGATCTTTAAAGGAAAAAAAAATCTTCAAGGGAAGATTCCACTGAACTTAGGATCCTTAGCTAAAGAGGAAAACCTTTTTTATCAAGTGAATATTTTTTTTTAAATCAGAATAAATTTAAGTTGTATCAAGACACTCCTACTTTATACATAAAGTCTTAAAAACGTCTTAGACATCATTAATTCACACAACTATTTTATAGTAAATGTGGTTATCCCTGCTTTAAACATTCTGTTATCAGACAATGCATCTTTGGTAATATAATACAGCAATCCCAAAAAAGAAATTGAGTGAGGACTTCAACTCCCAAGAAGGTAGGAAGAGCAAACTGTAAATATAACATCCGTATCTACATGCTGATGCTGAAAACTATTTTATAAAAGGTAAAGTATCATTTACCAGAAGGAAGATACTACTGTGGGGGAAAAGGAATTTGAATATCATTCAAGAGCAACTAATATAATCTTTCATTAGGATTTTTTTTAATATCATAATTCTGTCAGAAATGCTACAGGTGAAATAATGGCATATTTTACTTCCCTTTATCTACTGAAAAAAAAATTAAAAAACGAAATTCTCAAGGAAAATGCCACTTCTAACCACTGCTGAAAATCCATTTCCACGTTCCATTTGCTTGTTCTTTCCTCTACATTAGCCCTCCCTCCAGTAAGGTATTTGACACTCATATAGTTACAATGTTACTCCAGAAAATAGGATTTTTATATCTTATTTAATTATATTTAAAAGTATTTATGTTTTAATTTTCTTGTAACATTCCCTTATTCTAATTTGGTTAGAGGATAAAGGATCTCTGGATTTGGGAGCAAATACTTGCAAGACTAATAATAATAATGTGAAAATCTGTTTTTTAGGTTGTGACTTTCAAATCATAAACTGTATTATTTTAAATACTTTTAATATGACTAGAACATTGTTGGCATAAGGTATCTTACAAAATAAATACAACCGAAAAATAGATGAAGGAATCAGGTTGAGGGAAAAATGCGAGTAGGCAGGAAAAATTACGCAGCAGTCAGGAGCAAGCTGGGACGTCACCTGCTAGAGCTGGGCCACAAGTGAGATCTGAGCTTTCCAGCAGCCAGCAAAACATAAGCTCTGCTCCCCTCCCTGACTCAATGTCTGTAATATGCCAAAAATCCAGTTTCTCAGAAGCAGCACAACTATTCTTGTTCTTGAAACCCACAGTTTCATCTTTCCCAGAAAGGACACTATAGATACAGTAAGCAATGCTCTCAAAATATCCTTACAACACAAAGCATTTCACAGAGCTGTTTTTGATACCGGTTCTCAAAGTAGGCCAGAGTTAAATAATGCCAAAACACAGTATGGTAAAAAGGTTTTTCTCGGGGTGCAATGTAGGTACAGATGCCTGATATTCATAGGATCTATAAGAATGCACTGTATATCATAAGACCATCTTCAATAAATACTATTTCTCTCAACAAAGTTCTAAAAACATTCACCTCTATTATAAAAAATTTCAAACATGTAGAAAAAAGTTAAAACAATAATACTAACGATTAGCCATAGACATACTATCTAGAGACAACTGTTAACATTTTACCTATTTGCTTATGTGTGTGGACACTTAAAATTAAGTTGCAGACATCAAGACACTTCACCTCTAATCATCTGTATCCTAGAAATACTTTCTCCTGCTCCTCCACAATATCTTTACCACACCTCAGAAAAATGAAAAATAACTCCGTAATGTCACTGAATGTTGTCAGTCTATATTGAAATTTCCTCAGCTGCTCCCAAAATGTTTTTTAGAGCTGTTCCCCCCAAATCAGGATCAAATCAGTATTCAAGTACTGTTTGTTATCTCTCTTTTCATCTAGAAGGGTCTCCCTATTTTATCCTCTATTAAACTGATGTTCTTGACAATACCAGGTAAGTTGTCTTAGAGAATATCCCACATGCTATATTTGTCTGACTGTTTTCTCATGGTGTAATTTAACCCATTGCTTTATCTCCTATATTTCCTGTAAAGTGGCATTTAGGTTTAAAGCCTTGATTAGATCCAGGTTTAATATTTTTGGATAAGAATAGTTCATATGTGCTGTTGCTGCATACTTCATATTACTCCAAGTCAGGAGGCACATAATATCCACTAGCTCATACGTCCACTAGTTAATAATGTCCCCTGGGCACATAATGTACACTAGTCCACATAATGTACACTAGTTCTCCCCTGGTTGGCAATGCAAAATTTGACTGATCACTTGGTTAAGGTGGTGTCTACCCAGATCTCGTCAAATTATAATGATTAGCAATAATTTATGGGGATCATGTCAATATACTATTATACCATAACAACATTTCACTTCATGATTTTAGCATCCATTCAAGATCCTTTGTCTGAATCAATCATTTTAAATGCTAACTCTATCATTCTTTCTACATTACTCAAATTTTAATAAAAAGTTGCCAGCTAAAGACAGTTTTGAGGTATAATATACATATGGTAATATTCAACCATTTTAGGTGTATAATTCTATGAAAATGACAAGCAAAATATAAAACATTTTTATCACTACAAAAAGTTCCCTTTGCTCCTTTGTTGTCAATCTCCTCAACCACCCCTCTGTCAACACTGATTTTTTAATGTGCTGCTATAGTTTTGCCTTTTCCAGAACGTCACATAAATGGAATGACAAAGTATACAGCAATTTGA